CTCCCTCCATTTCCCCACCTCCCTGCCTGCCTCTGGCAGCAGGTGCCGGACTGCAGGAACAGGGATACATTGTCTGGGGCCACCATGCTCAGGTGCTGGGCTTCCCCACACTCCCCATCCTTCTCCCTGCTGGGGTCCTGTGCCTGGGTGTGTCTGGGCTTTTTGCTGACATTGCATCCTCTGCATCACTCTTCCCAGGTTTCTCCTGTTTTTCTGACCCTCTGGAGCCGACTGACTCGGCAGTGAAACATCCTGGGTCCACTTCTCTTAATTTTTATTATTATTAATCTTAAAATATTTTCCACTTAGTGGAAAAAAAAAAAAATCCTTGTTCCCCATTACCAGAATTAACAAAACTCATGGAGCATAAAACAGGGCTTTAAAGGAATTCAAAGTCAGCAGTAAAAGATTTGCAATCATAACACCTAATTAAGTTACATCTCTTAAAGCAAAATATTCCTTCTTTTTTTCAAGGCAAGGAGAAGTAAACCAGATGTGCAAACTTGCCACCTTTCACACATGCTCTCCCCACGGAGACGGAGGATGCCCACGCCGGGCTCTCTGGTCACCATCTGCCTCCTCCCACGTCCATGTAGCATTGCCCAGTGCTTGCCCCACTCCGTTCATCCCTCCCACGTGCCGGCTCCCCATGGCAGCAAAGACATAGCCCGTGCATGGGGTGCTGCTGCCCGCACTATGGGCCAGTGCCAGACCAGCATCAGCAGACAGCAGTTCGATGGGCACATGCCTGCAGCAGTCATCACCTCCAGCGTCCGTGGAGGGTCCTGTGGGGTGAAAGGGCTGAGAGCTCCCCCAGGACACAAACAGAACCAAGCTGTGGCACAGGGCAGGAGCTTGCTTTTGAAGTCCCCTTCACTAGCAGGGAAGGACAGAGCAATGTGTCCAGGATGGGTCTGTAGTGTATCCTAGGCATGCAGCAGTGTCCAGGATGGGGCTGTAACATAACCCAGAGGATGCAGCAGCATCTCAGGGTTTGTGGGTGCACTTTCACAGCCTTGGGCTGCGGCAGGTCTCTGCAATCCCCCAGCCCCTCCACGGCGTTCAGCTTCCCCATCAGGCTGCATTGACACAGCAGGAGGTGTGGGCAGGAGGGTGGCTGCAGGCGGAAGTTAAACTTGATCTTCTTTCCACTACTCTGCAGCATGTGTAATGCCACATACAGGAAGTTTAGAAAGGATCTGGGAAAGTGGGGGATGCTCTGGGAGCTGCCAGGGGAGAGGCACTCATGAAGTGGCTTGTCTCATGGCCATCCATCTTCTCCTGAAGGTTTTATGGGGTGGACAGAGAGCATGCTGCCTCAGCTGGGCTGGCAGGGCAGACAGAGCTGCTGCTGGGCTCTCTGGGGCCTGCCTGAGGGAAGAGCTGCCACCTGTCCCCTAGCACCACCACACGGCATTCCAGCAGGCATGGGAGGATGGAGCTGTGGTCCATAGACATGTCCTGGTGAGAGGCACAAGGATGAGACCCTGAGCAGAGCCCTGCCACAGGGAGGACAGGATGGGGTGCCCAGGGAGAGGCAGTTTGTGGAGGTGCGGGCAGGCTCAGGAGACTGAGTCGGGTGGCAGCCTGGGCACCCACCTGGCCAATTCCCCAGCCAGAGCAACCACACCCGCCCTACACACAACAATGGAGGCCATGTGCTCAAAGGCAAGGAAGGGAAATGCTTTAAGTTACTCTTTTTTTTTGTTTCTTCCCAAGTTTCTTACATAAATTGAACAGGAATTGATTTTATATTTGAGGAATGTTCACAAAGCCGAGGTTAAAAAAAATCCCCAAACTAATCCCAAATTGTTAATTCCCAACACTATTTTCTGATTCTTTTGAATCACAGTTTTATGATGTTAATCATGAGCAGGAGCACAGGGCAGTTACTGGTTTTCTTTCTGCTTTTCTTCCTTTTCTTTCTTCCCCATCGCCAAGTGAGGGGGGTGGCAGGTTGGCTGAGGCTGCCTCGCAGCCCTGTACCACCACCCCACCACCCATGGGCTCAGCACCGGTGTGGCTTCAGCACCATGTGGCAGCCACCCCGGCCATCCTCCTGCCCGACACCCCAGTTCGTGCTGCCTTCCTCCACTATGGCATCCAGTGTCTGTGGGCAGGCCCATGGTGGAGCCACAACTGATGCCAGCTGCAGGATGGTTTCCCTGCCTCTCGGTCACCTCCTTTCACTGCCTGGTCCTGCATGGCATGGTGCTGGTAAACTGCTGCAGTGGGATAGCTCCCAGCTCCAGCTCCAGTGGTGGGGGCATCGTAAACCCATGCAGTCCAGCATCGTCACTGAAGTCTTGCACAGGGCCCGGACCCAGGCTGGACCCTGCAGCGGGCATGGGGAGGCATGCCCTGCACCCATCACCAAAAAGTGCCTGGTAACCCCCCAATGCTGGGGAGGTTGCTTGGGCACATGACAGCCTCCTCTACTCTGCTTGGGGAGGAAAAGGTCACCCGTCCTGCCAGGCACTTCCCAAAATAAGGCAGGAGCTCCCTTTTAGAGTTCCCTTCATGTAGCAGGAAAGGACGGAGCAGTGTATCAGGGATGGGGCTGTAGCATGTCCCAGAGGATGCAGTGGGGTCCAGGATGGGGCTGTAGCATATCCCAGAGGATACAGCAGTGTCCAGGATGAGGCTGTAGCACATCCCAGGGATGCAGTGGATGGGGGCACCTTCAGTGCCACAGCCAAGCACTTCAGTGCACTCAGCAGCCACCGCTCACGGGGCGCCCTGCACTCCCTCTGCAGCCACCACCACTGTCCCAGGGGATGCAGCAGGGCCAGGGCAGCTGTGCCAGCCCAGGCAGAGAGGTGGCATGGCAGCATGGGGGGGCTGAGCTGAGAATCAGGGCTCACCCCCCTCTGCCAAGTATTAGCTTTGTGCTGTGCTGCTTCTATCAATGACAAATCTGGAACAGGTGGCACAAAGTCACAGATAAAAAGGAGCAGGCAAAAAGGAGACCAGCACAGCCCAGGACAAGCTTGTGCTCCTGGGCTTCTTTCTTTCCTCTTTTGTCATCCTCCCCTTGGCACAGGGCACTGTTATTCCCCATCTTCCCCCAGACCCTCACCTCCATCCTGTGATCTCTGTGGCAACCTGCAAACAAAGACAATTTCAGGGACTACTGGCTCTGTCCTGGGACATGGGGCCAAGCCAGAGAGAGAACCTGCAAGAGGGAGAGAAAAGAAGAAAGATGGGCTTCGAAAAAACGTGCCATTTGGAAAGAGACAAATTGTGATGTTCAAAGGAAGATGGCAGGGGGAAAGAAAGGAGAACAGGGCTGCTTCAGGCAATTGTTGGGATCAAAGCCTTTGGGAAGAAGGAAAGAGGCATTCCCTGCCCTCCCTCTGTTTGAGATGCAAATCTGGGGTCTTTAGAAATGCACAGAAAAAAGCCTCCTTGAGGACATGAGCCTCTCCTGAGAGCTGGGGGACAGCAGGGAGGGATGATGCATGGGGTAGAGGACAGCCTAGTGGCCTCCATGGCCGTGCTGGAGCAGCCGGAGCAGGAGATGCTTGGGCAGCAGGAGCGACCTGGCGCAGCAGAGCTGCTTCCTTCTCCTGCCTGCTCCCCTCCGGCCTGAGTCCCCTTCCCTGCTTTTGGGACACTGCTGGGGTACAGGTCTTTGGAGGGGCTGCCCCATGAGGATGATTCCCACCACCCTGGCTCCCAAGGGCAGAGTCACCCCTGAGGATCACAATCCCTTTGGTGTGGGGTCAGATCTTCCTTTGGGCCTCCTCCCTGCAGGGCCAATGGTGGGGCTGGTGCCAAGTCCTCTCTTTCCCACATCGCCCAGGTTTGCAGGGCCACAGTTGTTCTGGTTGACTCTCTTTGGCCATGGCTCTTGCCTGCTCTCCCTGGTGGCCACCACTACGTACCCTGCATTTCTCTCCTCCATCTCCTTCTGTGCCCCAGAGGTGGGTTCCCAGGCTCCCTCCACTGCCCCTGTGCTGATTTATCCTGCAGGACACTGTCACTGTTGGCACAGGAGGGGACACAGACTGCCTGATGGGCCCAAAGCCACCTGGTTTCTCTTCTCAGCTGATGTGGTGTCAGTGCTCATGTCAGGGTTTGAGCCCCCAGCCCCTGCGAGCTGTCAGGGGGGCAGCTGGGTTCACCAGACCCCCATCCCCAGCAGCAGCTGAGACCCTCACTCTGAAGCCTTCTGGAGGGCGCTGGGACATGGAGCACCAACCACCCTCTGCCAGGCTGGGTCTTGTTGCTTTCCCTCCACCCCGTTCCCCCTTCACTTGGGGTGGGACAGGACCCCACATGCTTCAAGGCCCTCAGTGCTCAACCCTCTGTTCTTCCTCCACAGACTGTGACTCCTACTGCAAGCCAGCCAAAGGCAACTACAAGATTAACATGAAGAAGTACTGCAAGAAGGACTATGGTAAGGGCCTCCTTCCTTCCCTGGGCCATGCTGGGCTTTGCCACAGAAGCAGCCAAGGGCCAGCCGCAGATTGGCCATGGGTGGGGGAGATGCAGATGTCCCAGGGGATGCGGAGCACCCAGCATAGAGAAGGGTCCCCAGATCAGCCCTCCCAAAGGTACGATGGATGAGGCAGGCTGGACTGCTGGGGACAGGCAGTTCCTGTCACTAAAGCTTCCTTTGGGGAGCAAGGCAAAGTATCCCCCATCACCATGCCTCCCCATCTTTTCCCTCAGTGGTCCAGGTGAACATCCTGGAAATGGAGACAGTGGCCAACTGGGCCAAGTTCACCATCAACATCCTCTCTGTCTACAAGTGCCGTGATGAGCGGGTCAAGCGTGGTGACAACTTCTTGTGGATCCACCTGAAAGACCTGTCCTGCAAGTGCCCGAAGATCCAGATCAGCAAGAAGTACTTGGTCATGGGGATCAGTGAAAACTCCACTGACCGGCCAGGACTGATGGCCGACAAGAATAGTCTTGTCATCCAGTGGCGGGATGCCTGGACACGTCGCCTTCGGAAACTGCAGCGGCGGGAGAAGAAGGGGAAATGTGTGAAGCCCTGAGGGGTTTCCACCCATCGCATCCCACCCCACCCTGTGCTCAGCCCCAGCATGGCTGTGCGCTGCCAGAGACTCTGTACATATATATAGTGTGAACGGACTCTTCTGTCTATAGTGTATATTTTGGCAATGTTTTCCCTTTGTGTGTGCGTGTACATGCATGGGTGTGCGTGTGGGTCTTTTTCTCTATGTGTGTATTAAAAATAATGCAGTAATGACAAACCTTTAATGAGGAGCAAAGCAGAGCAGGATCCCATGGATGCCTGTTGCCTGAAGGAGCTTGAAGGGGATTGGTGTCTTGCTCCGGGCATGCTGTTCATAGCACTTGTTTTTCTAGGCTTTTCCCTTTATCAAAGTCGTCTTCTGCCCAGTGTTGATGTCTGAGTTGTCAGCTCTCCCTTCTCCAGCATCCAGGGCCTGCCTCTTCCTCGCTCTCTGAAAATGTGCTGCTGTTAGACCTCTCTCTGCCCTTCTCCTTGCCCAGTACAAACAGGAGGCCATGTACATATGGTCAGGCTGAGTGGAAACAATCCAATGCTGCAGAGGAACCAGCCCCAAGAGCTCAACCAGGAAGAGCAAATGAACTATTGCAAGGCCTGATTTTCTGGTGACCTCAGGTTTACGTGGACCAGCGCTGCCACCTGGGGCGGGACCCATGCAATGCTGCAGTGCCATGGGGAGGAGTCAGGCCCTGTCAGCGGGTTGGTGGTAGAGCTGTGTCCACCAGGGAGAAAGGCACAGACTTCACAACCCCCTGGCCATTACCTATCCTGGTGCATAGTCCAAGTGACCCAGCAGGAAAGGCCTGGAGATACCCATTTTCCCCTCCCATGCCTACCAAGGCTATAGCCTGCCCTGCCAGCAGGACCTGGGGTAGAGTGAACATGCTGACCAGAGCTATCATGTATCATTGTCCATCCACCCAGGTCTATGTCCCTGTATTCTCAGCTGGTACCAACTGACATAATTCCACCCATTTCTGTTGAGCTGACACCAAGTCACCGTCTGCCTTGGTGTGCATCCTTCAGAGCTGGCCTGACTGTGTGCTCTCCTGGGAAGCATTGCTGTGGCCAAGGTTGTCTGAGGAGATGCACAAGGCAGAGGTGGCAGGAGGAGAGAAGAGCTTTCACTGACCCATCTCTAGTCTTCCACTTCTTCTTCACTGTTAATTAGTTTCCAGTTCAAACAGGCATCAGTATCAGTATATTGAGGTTGTAGTGGTCTTCACATAATAAATATGAGTAGAAATAATAGGTTATCTGACAATAGATATTCCTCTCCCTACAACCTTGCCTTGCTTATTGAATGGATCAGTAAGGTACTGTAGTCTACATCACAGTCTTCCAGTGCTTTAGGGTGATGCTTTGCCCTTTTGAGCCCATGGCAGCTTGCATGGACTCCCCATCCCATGGGCGGTCTGGTGCTTCTGGGGCCCTCCAGCATCCCAGGGTGGTGCTGGAGCCTGCAGCTGAAGAGACTGGTGGAGCACCATTGCGGTTCAGGACAGGGGAGTTTGGGGAGTGGATCTAGGCACTGGGGGATGTCTGTGTGGACATGCAGGTGCCCTAGTTGGGGAGCTCAGTGCATTGGTGAAGCTGCTGGAAATGCTGGAAGTGGCTTTTCAGAGATGCGGGGGGCCTAAAGTAACATTTTTCAGGTCCCATAGATGCTGGGGTGCCTACACAGGGCATGGGCAGAACTGGGGGGGAGGTCAGAAGCTGAGGGGAAAAGGGTATGTGGGACCACTTGGCCTTGGATAAGCTGGTCTTATGCCACACTCCTGACATAGACACACCCCCCCCGCTTCCCTCCTCCAGCTGAGCTGAGGGGACCCTCTCATCCCTGGTTCTTCTTCTAGTTGTCATAGGCTATCAGCCTCTGCCATGAGATGGCCCTTGAAGTACATGGGCCATCCAGCCCTCCTCTTCCTCCCATGGCTGCTTACACCCAGGAGCTCTGGAAGCAGAGCTGCTGCCCCTGCCCCAGGCTCACTCTGACCCCATGGACCCAACAGTCCTCACACAGGAGTCAGTGGTGAAACACCCTTTAGTTGTGCATGGCCAAGATTCCCATTGGGGTCATCCCCACAGCCCCAGGGGCTGCTCAGCATCACCCCATGGGGTGCAGGGATCCCTGGCCCCTCTTCTCAGTGGCCACAGCCCATAAAAGAGCAGGGTGGCACCACTGCTCCATGGGCATGGATGCTCATCAGGGCAGGGCTGCAGAAGGCACATGCTTTCTCCATGCAAGTACAGCCTTCAGGAGAGGCATGATGTGTCTGCAAAAAGCCGTCTGCAGAGCCTGCTGGGGCAGGAGGCTCCAGGGTTTCCTTTGGCACCTCATTTCTCCTCCCTTGAAGCTGGGCACCTAAAACTCTTTGAGGACTTTGGTGTTGGTGTTGGTGGTTGAAGTTCTCAGTTTATGCTCCCAGCTGGCTTGTCCCTCTTGTTTCAGCTCTGCCAGCCAGGACAGCTAACAAGGAAGGATGGCTCCCAGCTGGTGTCCCAGTACACATCTGTATCCTGCTGGGGTAGATCAGAGACACAGGGACAGGACCACCACATACCCCATGGGCTGCCGCTGAGGAGAGGAGCAATCCCACTTTGGCTGGGGGATGTCCTAAAATCCTGGCTGAAGAACTGGAGCAGGCCACTCCACACCTTCACTAAGGCTGCTGCCTGGAAGATGTTTTCCTGACTTCCCCTGTTTGTGTCACCCCAAAGGCTGAAGCAAGCAGTCTTTCTTCTTTCTCTCCCTCTGCCTGGCATGGCCAGCTGGAAACAGTCATGCACCCAGGTTCAGCTGTCCCTGGGACACCAGGGCTGGGTCCCCTGGAGCTGGTGTTTGGGTGCCAAGCACGGTGGTGATGGCACCACGGAGTTGCATGGAGATGCTGCTTGTCATGCTCTGCAGCTTGAGGCACAGCTCGGCACAGACACTACCGCAGGCACAGCTTGGGGGAGTGCTGCAAAACCGGGGTCTGCTGTGCCATCCCCACAGGGATGCTGCTGAGTTGGCTCTTCTGGCTGTGTCTTTCCATGCCCCACTTGCTGCATGAGCAGCTCACTGGTGAAAAGAAGCCCTTTGCAGAGAGGGCTGGCGACATTGCATCCAGCCTGCATGCAAGCTTTGTGCGGCCCCTACGCTGTGCAGCCTGGCACTGCTGTAATTCTTCTGCCTGCATTTATCCAAAACTAGGTACCAAATGCAGCTGGAGGCATCCCCAGGTGCAGGGGGACAACCCCAGCTGGGGAACCCAGCCTGCCAAGCTGTACCCAATGCCTGCTGCAGTGGGTTTTTTGGGAGAAGCAATGCTGCCCAGGGAATTTAGATGCAGAGCTGCTCCCAAATGCATATTTAAATCCCCACACATGTCCACATTCCTTTTTATCTTCTTTTTCTGTTTGCTTTATAATTTAAATGTATGACTGGATGGGGCAGATCCAGGATGCTGGTGGGATCCTTTGCGAGTCACCCCATGCAGATTTGGAGGTGGGCTCTGCTGTGCTTCTTGGGGAGCCCTGGGCCTGGCTGCTGAGGCATGTGTTGTGTAAATACCATCCCGAGGGTGCTCTTGCAGAGGGGCCAGGCCCTGCAACATGATGTCTTCTGTGAAATATGTAAAAAGAAAAGCCAGTGAATGCTATGGACTGTAGTATAACATATATGATATGTACTTTGGGGGGGGGGGTATTATTATTTTTTTATTATTATTTTTAATAACATAAGTCTAATGAGTACCAACCGCCTAATTCTGCACCTTCTTTGCATGCATATGCAGTTTGTGTGTGGGCTGGGAAGCTGGGGGGCTTTGCCAGGGGGTTTCTCTGTCCCATCACCACCAGCTCTGTGGGTTGGGGCTGTGCTGACCCACAGGGTTTCATGAGCACTTGCAGGAACTTCCCCACAGCTTTGTATCTGGACTTGAGCGGGTTCAGGGCATGCCATGGGGCCAGCTCTGAGCATCCCCAGGTGCACCAGGGACTGATGGCTCATGGCCCATCGTGGTTGCCAGGCTTGGCTCAGCAGTTGTCCACCCATGTGGGCACAACAGGGACAGCACAAACCAGAGAGCTCTTCCATCTCACCAAGATTGGGTCACCAGCTTCCAGCCAGCTTCTTTGTACTCATTGGATTCACTTGCAGGGCTTCGAACCCATGGAGATTAAATAGCTGGAAAAACTCTTCCACCTTCCCATCACAACTCTCCAAGAGCTGTAACTGAAAAAAAACAGGAACATTAATGATATTACTTGCTGTCTATGTTATTTAGGTATTGTTTTTATATACTTATTAATGACTTATGTAATTATTTCATTGCTGTTCATAACACTAACACTTAAACAAAGGCACAGTTAAAAGAAAGAGCAATCAAGCCAAATTTCCAGTATGCTTAACTGCTTTCAAAGGTAATTTAAGGGGAGAAAAAAAGGATAATTAGCAGTCAATCAAGGAGTTGCCTTCCTGCCCATGCTGATGCAATGGGAGGCTGGTTGGCACAAGCTCTGGCAGGCTGAAGCTGTGCTGGGGCACTTCCATGTCCGTCCACACCCACCCAGCCCCAGCCATCCCCTTGGTGGTGGAGAGTGCTTGTCACCATGGGGTGCTGCCAGAGCCCATGGGTGATGCTGGGGCAGGGGGACTTGGGTGGCAGCAGGGGATACTGCGCAGTCCTGGTGGCCACAGCCATAGGCTTTGCAAGGGCAAGAGATGCTGCAGCACAGTCCCACCTTGCCACAATTAAGGTGTAAGTTTTCCAAAACAGCTCTAGAAGGAAAAACATACCAATTCAGCAAAGGATCTGAAAAGACTTCGGCATGCTCCAGTGCACTCCTGTTTCAAGTGCAGACCTTGCCTGCTCTGTGCAGCAGCTGGCTGAGCTCAGGTGTGCGCCAAGAAACGTTGCACCAGGACCAGCTGCTCCAGGCAGCAGATGCCTCATCCCCATGCAGGAAAGGCCAAAATGACCATGCATGTTTTGCATCAGTGAGGGTTTTTTTAAC